ACTTGTTTCGTTGATATACATGCTAACTAAAATAGTCCTTGGAATTTCTAGTGGAAGAGCACCAAAAGAAATTAGTCGCGGAGCAACTGGCTAGAAAGGAGAGACTTGCCAAGGAGCTCAGGGCTGAGAAAGGACGACTCGAAGCGATGAAGAAGGAAGTACAAGCATTAGCTCGACCGGATCCCTTGATATCGCCTCAAGTACGTACAATTGCATGAAACGATAATCGATCATTTTTTTATGCGTTTTCTCTTTTTTTTTTTATTTTCAATGCGCGATTTTTGCAGGAGCTGAAAAGAAAACTGAAGACCGAAATATATATGCTACAGGTCGAGTGCGACAGATTGGCCATAGAAGTCGATCACTGGTCAGACAGACGAGGTATTTATTTCCTATCATGTTATTGCGTATATACAAAGTTTGGTAGGACTCGTGGCGAATAACTTGTACTTTCCAGTGCCATTGGGCGAGACAAATGAAGAGTTTTATCAGGGCATTTATACCGGCCAGTCGTTGCCGACGAGACCTCCGAATCCACAACCGCCGCGTTTACCGAGTCAACCACCGGCATGGCGATCGGAGCAGCCAACGAGTGACAACGACCAGGAGGAACGGGACGAGCCTTCGTGGGTCTGCACTATGTGCACTTTTGATAATCATCCATTGATGAACAAGTGTGAGGAGTGCGACATGCCGAGACTGTTGAACCGCAGCAGTGCAGGTATAAGCTCCGGCAAACCGACGAGGGAGTTGCCGCCGACCTCATTGTCATCGTAGTGATAGTGAACCTTCCTGAACGTTATTCCAATCACACGAAATAAAATAACTTGTCGCCTAACAGCATGCCGACTTTTGATATATCCTTCGTGGAAACTCATGAAGATCGTCTCCTGCGATTACACTAATCGATTGTATTTTGAGAATATGAAGCGCTAAAATGAAAGTGATATATTTTTTATTCTACTGTATTAAAAAAAAAAACTTTAACAAAGTGTGAGCATATGCTATTATAACTATGTTATAAAAACTGTGTACTTAATTATGATTAATTATATTAATCATGTTAATAAAGCATAATGAAAGAGAAGAGAGCTTGCGACTCTGTTCTCGTTTGTTTGTTTAAAATATGTGTGTGCGTTTGCTGATTTTGATCGCACTTATTTGTATGAATTAACGTTTCATTTACAAGCTATACTTTTTTATATGTTTCTAAGCTATTAACAACATTGATATATATATTTTTCGACGAAATACATCTTTAAGTCTAACTTGAGGTAAGGAAAGGAATTTATGCATAGTGAATTATACGTAATATTATTTCACTTAATTTTACAACAACGTTTATAGTCTGATATTTTCAGGGGAAACGCAAGATATTCATATACGAGTAACCCATCACCATAATTTTTCGCCACGGCGTAAGTATTTCACATTGATATTTTCATTCAAACGAGATTAATATTTCGCAAATGTAATAGTTATTTACACTATCTGCAAAAATAATCGTGACGTATTACTTTTCCAGATATAGTACACAGTTGGGTGGTATGATGCGAACTGAATTAGAAGTTTATAAAAAACTGTACATACGTATAAAAAAATTAAATTAAATAAATTTTGTAGGGGCTAAGCGATTGTAATAGAACACATATGGTGACTAATGTAATAACTTAACTTAATTTTTTATTTATGATTAGTATACATTACGAGTTATTAGAATCGTTAAATAGTTTATCCCGTTTTTTTGGCGATTTATGTCTCTTCTCGAAGCAATTTCTACACATCTTTAGAATTTCGTGTATAGCAGAATAATTATAGATGTATCGCCAATAAGAGCAACAAAAAGTACATTCGATTAAATACCGTAAAATTCTTTTCTCCAGATTCTTATTTATATAAAAAGTCATCGTATAATACATAAAATACAAGTATTTGTGATAATTCCACCAACGTTTTCTCCTTATATAGCCGTACCCCTCTCCAAGTTTAATTTCGTTTCCCGAGTATACTCGCCGTAGAATCTCTCCAGTTTCTGATTGAATCTGGCATTACGTTCATTGATATAATCAATATCCGCGTCATCATTGTGCATTCTACGCCTGCTGTATTTCTCCCGTTTTGCGATTCTGCAAAAAGGAAAACAAGATAACTTCATCAAATTCGAGTCTTATCAAAGATTACACAATTTCATTACAGGCCTGTAAATGTTACTTACTGCTTCTCTAGATTGGTGACCATTTTATCTATCGCTTCCTTTTTGTCTTCGTGTAAACCGTGTAATATTGTATTTGGATCGCCATAAAAAGCAGGGCCTAATTTCTCCTTTGCTTCTTCGTATGTCTCCATATTCGGTTTAATATTTTTCACCAGTCTGTTGTAAGAACGTATCGCCGCTTGTTCGTAATCCGAGAAACCTGGATCAGGATTCTGTTTGCTTTTCTTCTTCCTAGCTATTCTTTCTGCTTCAGTGGCATCAATATTCAATAATTTTTTCCGTTCATAATCTTCACCCTGAAGAATAAGTTAAATAGACAAATAATTTTATATAATTTGTCAAAAATATATATATGGAAAATCTGATTAATCATGATACCTTAGCTTCTGCCTCATTCCTAGCAGCCTCGTCCTGCATTATCCACTCGGCCTGTCTCTTGCGGGCTTCCCAATTGGTAGGCAACTTGTTCCTCTTGTCCTCCTCCACCACTTCCTTGTGATTCTGCATTCTGGCCTCATTCTGTTAAATCAATACGCTATAGACAAATTACGACGATCAATTCCAATAACGAATACGCTTAATTACTTAAAAAAACAATATTATTTATGTAAAGAAAAGGAAGAAATAAGCAATTTGAAACGTTGGAATGAATAGAATGTCTCGGACAGATTACATTTACATTCTAGTGCAAACTTCTCTCACCCTCTTGGTGTGGAGTTCTTTGAGTCGCTTCAGCATTCCCCCATATTTCCCCGTCGCGGATTGTGAAGATGATGCACTCGACGCTGCTTCGTCCATCGTTGATTCGAACGAGACACAATTTTCCAAACTCAAGCCGAACGTCAACACCAGTCAACACAATAAATGGCGACTTGTCAAAATCAGAAAGAGAAGAAAACTGCTTGCGTAACTTGCGTTGCGTTATCGTGGTGAAGCGCCATCTACGTTCGTAAAATGTGCACGTAGAACTACGTCGTCACGTGCACATGTTTATCTTCCGTGGTATATCGACCGTTGGTCATAAATGGCCAATATATAATATCAGAGAGAAACGTCTCTCTGCTCAAACTATATAATGTACGACGTTTTAAAAAAGTTTTATTATAATAAAAATTATGTTATATTATTATGATCTTTAGCCTTCAAAGAATTTTTTGCACAAATTATTAAATCTGCGGTGCAATATAGTAAGGTTCTTGATTTATTCTATCGAAATTATTAATAATTATACGAAAAATTGTGAGACTCTCTTATGATTTTCTTTTTATTAAATAGTGTGTAATCCGAGAAGGAAAAGATTTTGCGTTTTTTATTCCTTTTTTAATAAACTTAGCACAGTATTATAATCGGTACTTTAAAAGATACTTTTTCCTTGCTTTGTGGCACTCGAATAAAGATCAATATACATCTTATATGTATATATTGTAAACAGAAAATGTAGGAAATAAAAACAATGTCGTAGGTCGTACATATGTTTACTTATTTAATTGTGATATTTACCCTGCGATATATGGCCAGTATTAATAGAGAAATTTGATTTTTAAAATTGTCTCAAGCACAATTTCAAAATATCTCATAAACCCATCGCAAAACTGTATCAGCTGCATCTTAAAGAATTACTTAAAATGATCTTGAAATAAGAACTACCTATAACGATATGTTTTAGTTTAACTTAATTAATAACTTATTGCCGTCCATACGCGTGAAAGAGATTTCACACGTGCGATTCGCTCTAATAATTTGAACCCAATTCGATTGAACTACTAACCGACCTAGATTGAAAACCGTGCTCCGGTTTAAAATTATCAATGCATGTCTACACACGCATCTGACAATGGTCAGTCGTTGTTGAAATAAAAAGCATACGATGTTTAAAAATGAAATAAACATAGAGTACTATGTTTGAAAATTCCTGTTCATTTTTTTTTATCAAAACTAAAATATTAGTTGAGAATTGTCGAAAAATTCAACTAAACTCTTTACGAGTATCGATGTGAAAGATATTCGGACAACAGAAAAAACGGATCGAGAGACGTATCTATGTCAAAAATATATCACTGCGAATCGATAATTGTATCAATACTTTCGAATGGCGAATTCGACTGGATGCATTTAATGAGCACTAGTGCACGTTAAAGTTGCTGTTTTCTAACTGACGTAAAGATACGTGTTTAATGTAAATATAAAAACGGATTGTACCGTGAAATCCTCTGTATATTTCATTGTGCTGTTATGTAAAATATATGTCTTATAATTCAAAATATTGTACTTTTACACAGATTAAATCAATGTACAATGACTTTAATATATATACCAGTGCGCACTAGTGCGTTCAATCGATTTCGCTATAAAGAAAGATCACAGATCCTTATTATAATGTAACACAAAATGTCCTTTTATTAGTCCCGCGCGAATTTCACACATAAAATGTTTTTAATAATATTATTACATTAATACGGTTTTGGAAGAAACAGAGGGAAAATTATAAATATGAAGAATTAATATATATACATAAGAAGCTAATTTTAGTATTTTATTGTATTATTGACAAAAATTAACGTTAATTTAATCGTTATTAAATAAAAAGAGAAATAAACAAGATCCTTATGAATACATCACGATTAATATTTTCACAAATAAATGGGTTGTGATATCATAAAATAGTTTACAATTAGGAGATATAATTAATTCCGACGCTGAATTAACGCGCGAGTCCGGACCATGTATCTAAATGCTTTATTTTTATTACATTATTATTGTTGAAGTATCATTCTCACTGGGGATTCTAATCGCATTCTGAATTTATAGGAAAAACGTAGAACTTTTCTTTGTAATCTTTTATCTGTAAATATGGTTGGTTACGGGTTATCTCTTTCGCAATACGTAGTTTTCTCTCGTGATCCTTTGCACTATCATCTATAACAATAAATTTTTAAAAATTGTAATTGTCTCTGTAACTTTAAGAATAATTCGATAACAAAAAAATGGAAGGCAAATAACGTCACAAAATCAGAAAACAAATTGACATCCACCAAAATTTGATTATAAAATTAAATTATCAACTCACAATTTTGTTCGTCGACATAATAGTCCTTTGGACTATTTTCTATCACATGCATGCTCAATTTTCTCATATTACTTTTATCTAATATATACTTCACAAAACATTCTTTCAAATCATTGATTTTTATCTCCTTTAATGCAAGCTCTTCTTTCTCGTGTCTGTCAAACATATATTTACGCTCCATGATCTCATTCCAATTTCTTTCAAATTTTCTTTCAAGATCGTTATCGGCAAATAATATCAAAGGGTTCGATGATTTTCTGTTCTCCTTGATACGATCAAATTCTTCTTCTGAGATCTCTTCCAAAGTGTTAGTAAACGATTTAAGAAATTCGTCAATGTATTGTTCCACCTGCATGGTTGTAAGGCATCCACTTGTATTATAAATATCAGCAACAATGTAAAGTCCTAAAATTCCGTTGTCATTTTTAAAGGAGCACCCAGCACTATCTAATGTTTCTTCAAATTCTTCCCATAGCTTTTCGAATAACGATAATCCCATTATTGACTGAAATAAATGCGGATTTGATATAATGTATGAATAAAATTAATCGCAATAATCAAAGGTGATATTCATATTCCATTTAATTTTCAGTACAAACAAGTATAAACCATGCCATATATTCAAAATATATAATGTTAATTAGTATTTACCGCTATCAGCTCGATTATCAACAACAATTTAATCGACGTGACACCAATTTGATAATACCATCTCAATACGGAAGGTGGTGGAAGTTCTTTAAAATGTAATTTTTCGAAACTTTTTGATATCCAATAGGTTGTGCCTAGATTTATCTGATTAATTCTTATATCGGGTCTCGTACTAGGGTGCAAGGGCTCACACTCAATTATTTTAAGAAATTTCCGTATACTGCTGGACACAATATCCTCCGTTATGCTGCCTTGCGCGAGGCACTGAACGTACAGATGCTCAGTAAAGTAACTTGCAAAGAATTGAAAGTCTTTGAAATAGGTAGTACATAGTGCAACGTACTTCTCAAGGCGTGTATAATGGACGAGCTTCAGTGTCCATAATCTCATGTCCCTGCAAAAAAGTTTCAAGGTGTAGGACAAAACAGTACAATTTCAAAAGATGGTATAATTCTGAGCGAAATAAAATTTGAATAAAATTTTTTTAATTTAAATTTGATTTTTTTTCCTGTTCGGTACCCTTAATAATTAATGATATAATATAACAATAAGTAATAATTAATAAGTATCATTAATTATTGTTTCTTCCGCTTTAAGAATTTTATAATTCCAGATAACATTTGGTCAGTATTTTGATGACTTGTTAAAATATATTGCAATTACATTGCTAACAAGATAAATTCTCACTCGACATAATATTGCAAGCAAAAAAAAATAGTGAAACCGAGTACAGCAACTTTGTAGTAAAAATGTATAATAATGGGAATATTTTGGCAAAATTGCGACATTTTTGCTTATTATTAAATGTACAAATACAATTCCTAGCAACATGCAAGAAAAAGATTAATTAAACGAATATTTCTACACCATTATGGCAATATGACGGTAAAGGAATTGCTAGCAAACGGATTACACTAGTTTGCTTTTGTACTAAATGTTATCTGAATTGTTGCAATTATGCTTGCTCTAATAATATAAACTGCCAATACTCGATAAGATCCCAAGAGTTATTACACATATTGTAATAGGTTTCAATTTGGCTCTTTTTGAAAGTTTCAAACAATTCCTTCGTAACTGTTGGAAGGCTGATGTATTGCGCAATAATGTCCAGCAAGAGCTACAATATAAATATAACGATATATCTTGAAATTTTATGTTTATAATTCTAACTTACGCTTTGAACAAATACTTACTGGTATTTTTTCGCTAAACCCACATATTTTTATTGTAAAACCTTTCTCAGTGGTATTAATAAACTTATAAATAATCCCAACTGTTGTAGCTGAATATAATTCGTTCGTTAACAGAGATTTCAATATTTCGCAGTATATATCCATAAGAACTGCACTGAAATGTCATTAACATTAAGTATAGTATTTAGTATAATAGTAATCTAACTATTATGTAGTTATATTATTATATTTTTTAATGTTATCACTTACTACTTCGGTGATTGAAGTACCAACGGAGAAACCAAATGTAAGTTCATGTAACATTTCGATAACTTCTTATCCGGGTCATACCAAACCTCCGATATTTTATTACTGTACAACTTTATAGGATATTTTGGAACTTTTATTGAAATAAAGTCCTTAGGAAAGAATAGATTTGAATGTGGTAAATAAAACTCTTGTAATGGCTTGATGGATTTCCAGCGTTTGATCCATTCCTTTGGTATCTCGATGTCTGTGTATCTCGTTTTCGACCATTGTTCGACCTTATTTAATTCAAGATCCTCGAAATCCTCGTCGAAAAACATAATATTCGCGGTCTCTGGTTCCAAATAATTTAAACATTTTTGTATATCTTCTGGATTATATTCGAAATACAGTTTGTTCCCGGTTAAATAATGGCACGATGGATATAAATGCATTTTTATACTCAAGTTTTTCACATAATTCATTGGATTCTCTTCATCGATAAATCTAAAAAAGTGTAAGTGGCGTTTCACGAATATTTTGTAGGATTTTTTCTTTCAACAATTGTTTATTTATGTATCTATTTGTTTCTAAAATTAGTTTACCTTAAAGACATTCGTTCGCTCTTAAAAAATTCATCGTAAAATGTTTTCTGTGGACCCTCTTTTTTTATTAAATTGATAAAGGAAAATATCGCATCTAGAACCTTTTCCCGATGTTGTTGCCCTTCATAAGAGAGATTTACAATGAGCTTTATTAAACTGTACGTGGAGTAATGTTTAATTTTATATTGAAGTGCATCAATGGAATTTATCCACATATTTTTGCGTAGGTAGCTAATTAAAGGGCTTTTCCCTTTATGTTGAATCATTTGAAAAATATATTCATATGGTTTACTTTTATATAAATGAAGTAGCGAAGGTATTATCCATGTTATGACTAACTGCAAAAAAAAAACAATTTATTATTTTAATATACATTCATTTATATATTTACTTAGTACAAATATAGTGTTTTTCGATCTGTTCAAATTATAGCCACATACTTCTCTGTCTTTCACAGGAACATTAACTTTATACATTTTTCGAAAAGCAGGAGTAATAAAAGAAAGACCATTTTTAAATTCTGAGAAATCATCGGGAGGCAGCCAATTTGTTGGTACATTTTTGAAGTACGTCGAAGTTAAGATAAAATTTTCTAACATGTCCAGCGATATTCCTGACTATAAAAAGACATATGTTATAAATTAATTTTATTTTTGAAACAGATAAACTGTATAGTGTAAGTAACATATGATTTTTGTTACCTTTTAACAAAGTTCAGTTTTAACAAAGTTACCTGTATAACCAGCTTCATTCTGTGAGCGCTGTAATGGCGCTTTGTAAATTTCTGCAACACTTCGTACAATTCCTTTATGTTTATATTTTTGTTGTCCTGCAATTTCATTAAATGGTCCATAGTAAACTTGTTAGCTGGATGACCAGTTTCCGCAAAGGAAGAAAGCAGTGAATCCTCTCGATATTTAATAAAATTTAAAGCCCTCTGAAACTCTGTATGAGCATGGCATGTTAAGACTGTAAGTTGCGATAACAATATTACGATTAAAATTTATGTACCTTCTTTTACGATCGTTGGTTTGTCCATAAAAGCATCTATATACAAAAACGGTTTAAAACAAAATTGAGCCAAATGGCGGAGAGCTTGAAACAAGATTTTCTCTCGGATATCAAAGTAAAATGTTGTATGTTCGTGATCCATTACGGTATTATTACAGCCACTATTGATTCTGATAAATGTTTGAAAACCACATTTCTGCAAAGATGAGACTTACATTTAAATATATGGATAAAGAACTTTTATAGTACATTTACGCATCATGTTTTAGTACCTGTGTATGTTCATGAATTCCTCTAAAAAGTAGATAGTCGAAGAAAATTGCTATGCCTGGAATTTCTGGTGGATCGCTGAAAGATCCTACTCCTACAGATAAGCTACACGCTGCCTGTTTAAAAAAAAAAATATATATATATATACACACATCGTGCATTACACACAGAGTGTTAAACGAACATAATCATTGGAATGACTTGTAAACAATTTAAAAATTAAGCAACGCGTTTTAAAATCGATTTATGGAGAAACTGTTCTAGTGCTGATAATAAAAGAGATTAAGTTTTTCAAACTAAAATTTCTGACAATATAATTAGTTTTTGAGAAGATTTTTTAAATAATTTTATAATGCCCAATTTTTTCACTTTCAGATAAGTTGCTGATAACCTTATCCAGGAGATATCTCCATTGTATTCTGGGATAAAGTATCTTAGATAAAGTTATCTAGAGGTGAAGAAATTGGACATTAGTCTATCTTTAATATTATAGTTTTTATGTATTCTTAATAATAACAGATTAAACAAAAAATAATTAATATAAAATACGTTTTAAAATGCAAATTAAATTGTCTTATACCTTTTTTTCGTCGTTCTTATCTTGATTACAAGAAGTGCATGATTCTGCTTGTGTATTGGATATTAACAAAATTTCTAAACCGTTTGTTAACCTGATGGCTCTAAATTTGAAAGACAAAATAAATAATAATGAGGTTAATGAAGGTAATGTATAAAATATATATCGTATATTATTTTTTAAAAATTGAATCTTTCTTTGAAGAAAATGCATTGTAATTTTCCTACCAAAATTACTCTCATATTTTTCATGCAAATTTCGATAAAAATTGTGCTTGTTGTATTCGTTTTCGGCTCACCTATATGTTTTTTTGTCATTCTCCGATTTAACGGGTGTTTCCAGATATTTAACAGTATAACGTTGATGTTTATTCATATCCTTGATCGGCTTCACTATTACATCTGAGCACGAGGAAATCGGAGTGGACATTATGTCGGTCGGTACAATTTGGATAATTCACAACAAGATTTTCAGTCGTTTTTAACTTCTTTTTCAGTAGTAACTTCGCGCGATTTTAATCAGCATTCTAATCGATACACGTTCTTTTTTCGTTATGGCGCTTGCTGTTGAACGAAGGTTAATATACGGCTAAGAATTTGTGTATAAATTGTAAGCAAAGGTCGTTGTTGTTTACTTACTTCTATTATTCCTGGTGATTTAGAAAGCCAATGTACGATCGATTTGTTCGTACATTAATGTTGTTTAAATACAATCTTAAAATATCATAAATTGATCACTGAGTTTTATTAGCACCTTAATATATTATTTAAAATCATTGTGCTGTAAATAAGAAGCAACTGTGAATACCTGCCTAATTGGTTATTGTTTAATTCAGTATTATTTTATTATTGCTAGGCACGTTCTTGAAAAAGGTTCCACGTGTGCGACTCTAGAAATGCGACTAAACCTAATTTTGACCTGCGTCGCTGCATGTCGAGATCCTAAACGGTTCAGTTACCACGATTGCCAGTTTTCTGATTTTTTTTCGAAGATTACGGTGTTTTCAATTTTTCTAAATTTTCCGATCGCTGTAAATTTTGATATCCTTTTTTTTTTAGTCCAGAAATTGCATTTAGCGCGGGGTCATAATTATAATAAATTCTGTAATTGTGTATTCGTAATTTAATATTAAAATAGTATAAATAGTTTAAAAAATATAGTTATTATGGGAATAAAAAAAAAGGATCTTTTTTTGCCGTCCACATGCTCACTTTCGGTTTTGGAAAGAAATCTTTAGATAAATCTGATGACCTTTTTTTTTAAGAAGGATCTACATAACTCTGATAAAAATAAAAATCAGAGCGTATAAATTGAATGTAATAGATGAATAACAGAAGCGTAAACGAAACTTCTAGAAGGCGAAAATATTGGAACAATGAAACGTAAAAGAAGCACTTACACATCTTTTACATTTTGATGTTTTAATTTTCGCCTCCTAGAAGTTTCATTTACGCTTCGGTTACTCTCCCATTACATTCGACTTACGCTCCGATTTCTATTTTCACCAAGAAAACAATCGATTTCCGGCTTAACAGTTTAATCATTAATGCACGGACCGTCGGACTTCAATGGAACACTATTCGAAAACTGGCAACCCTATTAGGACTAACCATTTCAGGTATATACATGTTCTTCTGACAGTCATTGGTTATTGTTATCTTCCAAAGGATATTTCAAAAGGCAAGTGAACAATAAGATTCACGGAACGTTAGCAATAAATTCCGACATGCCGATAATCCGCAAACTTTGTAGCATCTCTAAAGAAAATAGCAAAATACATCGAGAAAAATTTCTGGACCTTATTCGTTCAAAATGTAACAAACGGATATTTCCGATAGATCGTACATTTAGGACTATCCGATAAATTTTAGGACTATCGGATAAAATTTTCTTAATATGTCATAGGATAGTCCTAAATGTACGATCAAAATCTATCGGAAATATTCGTTTGTTACATTTTGAACGGATAAAGTCTGGAAATTTTTCTCAGTGTATTTTTAAAAGCTCACTATGGTTAAATATAAAAGTAATAGAGAGCATTGTGTCTAAAAATTCCTCCCCAATTCCTTTTTTTTTTAATATAACATTATTCGACAAAAAATATCTTTTTTTCAAACACCAGAGCAAGACCAGTCATTTTTGTGTGCCTTCCAACAAGAGACACAGTACAACATAGTGATCATCTCATCTTTGTTTAACATTGGAAAACAACAAGTATGTAATGATCCATTGTGTCACACCATGTTATCTGCATCGCTTGTTGGAAGGCATATTTTTTTATGACTTTTGTTAGAAATAATCAATTGTTGAGAAGAAGGCTTTTAACACGAGTAGAGAAAGAGAGAGAGAGAGAGAGAGAGAGAGAGAGAGAGAGAGAGAGAGAAATGACTTCTTGAAAACATCTTTTCATATCTTGAATATATTTAAATAAATAAGAAATATTATACTTCGAGCATGTCCTTTATTTCCTGATTAGCGGTATATTATTACAGTCACATTTATGTTTGATCTTTAGTTATTGTACTTATGATTTCCATAATTTATTTATAATCTCTTATGCAAAGAAAAGTTCCACAAAGAATAATTAACATTAATAATTATAACTGTCAATATGTTATTGTCATAAACCCTTATTTTATGTGAGAAAATTTCATTTTTTAACTTCGAATATTGTATATTGCAAAATGCAAAATGTTCCAAACTACATTCGTTATTATAATAATATACTATTGCGCGTGGGAAAAATATAGAAACAATAAGTACGAAAAGTTACATGAAAAGCTGATTGAATAATATTAATATTCAATCAGCTTTTCCTTATTGTACTATTAATGTTATGCAAAAATTAGTATTAAAGAAGTTTATGCATTTAAGCAATATGAGGAGCTGAGATTACTGAATTCTTTTTCTTTTTCATTTAGGAAAAACTAAAGAAGAACTGAACTAGTGAAACTAAGGGGACTATTCTACAACTATTATCAACTGTAGCGTTACAATATTGTTTTTTATCATGTACAAAACCTGCGCAACGACACTGTAACGCAACAGTGACGTCGTTAAGAGTTACGAAATAGGCTCCTTAGTTTTACTTGCTGAATTCGAAAATTATAGTTAAAATAGTTTTAATATGCGGAAAATAACATTTTTGAACACATTTTAACTGAAAAGAAAATAACAATAAATTTCGAACTATAATAATTTCTCTGTTTTTATAAAAATTATTTCTTTTCCATTAAAATTGCAATCACTATTAAAGTCTTATTTGCTATACAGATTCAGTAAGCAAAATTGAGAAAAAGTTCAAAAATGTCCGCATGTGTTAATTGTCTAAAAATAAATGCATAATTTCTTTAATCATCCAATAAATCAACAAGAACCCGGGAAAAAATATTTCATATATAATTATATTATAAATTGACAAATTTTATATGCAATTATATATAATTATATATGAAATATGTTTATATATGAAATATTTTTTCCCGGGACCTTATTATTATAAAGAATTATAATTCATAATTTTATTTTTTTATATTATTATTGTGCAAAAATGTCACTTATTCTGCACCCCTAAGTCGCTTACCCCTCAATTACTGGATAAACGTGAAGTTTTTTCTTGTATGCTTCTATTTTAACAATATAAATTTCTTCAATGTTTTTATGTTGATGTTCGTCGATTATGTGTTCCAAAGTAATGGACTGTGCTTTGTCGGGATTATTTCCTGTAATATGTATACTCAACATTTTCATATAATTTTCGTCCCACGTGTACTTATCAAACCATTCTCTTAATTTGTTTATTTTTATTTTGTTTAATGCAAGTATTTCTTTCTCGTGTCTGTCAAACATGTATTGACACTTTATGATCTCATTCCAGTTTCTGTTAATTTCTTCTCCAATATTCATATCAGCATTTTGCTTAAATGTTCTTAATCTTTCCTTAACATCATCAAAGTCATTTTCTGAAAATTTATCCAAATATCCTTTAAAAGATGCCAGAAATTCATCGATCCATTTCTCAATATCCTCAGTTGTAGATAATTTATTTGTCACTGAATGAGTAGCACTAATAGAATATTCTAAAATTCCATCGACATCCGTACAGTCGCATGAAGTATCTTGTATAAGATTATCTTGGATGTCTAATTTACTTTGCAGTAACAATCGGTTTTCCATTATCATCTGAAAACACGTGCGGATGAATATAACTTGGGGATAAAATTAATCGCAATAGTCCAAGAAATTACTCATATTTTATTTACTTTTAAAAATAAATGAATAAACATCTAAGATTTTATACAAAACTATATTATTTAATACTTACGATCATTAGTCTCATTAACACCGATAACTCAATTGACGTGACATCGACTTGATAAGTATTTATCACAATGGAAGTTGGATCATGTTTGTTGATATTTTTCAATTTGTAATAACTTGTGCCTAAGGGTATCTGAAAGACTCTATTCGGTTGCATCATACTAGAATGTAAAGAGTCACATTTAAGTGTTTCAACACATTGTCGCATAGAGTTGACCGCAGCATCTTGCGTTATATTGCCTTGCACGAGACACTGAATGTATAGACGATTGGTAAAAAATTTTGCAAAATTTTGGAATTCTTCAAAACTGACATTTTGTAGAGCATTGTGCATATCAACGTATGTATAATGGACTAACTTTAGTATCCATAATCTCACATCCCTGCAAAAAAGATAAAAGATATATTTATTATTGTCTAATTCGCAAAAAATATAACATTTATTATAATGCATTTTACAAAATTAATTCTTTATTTAATATCTATCAATAGTTTCTTTCAGTTATATAAGAATTTCATAATATTGTTGCAATTATTTGACAATAAATAGCCAGTACTTAGCGAGTTCCACAGGTTTAGTAAATGTGTCGTTATAGATATCAACTTGTTGATCTCTGATCATTTCGAACATTTCCTTCGTAACATTTGAACAGTCCATCATGTATTTTATTATAATTAACAACAATGTCTGCAATATAAATAAAATAAAAATAATATACTCTTTTTTCGCGCGCGCGCGAAACTATGTAATTTTGACGCGTGCTTTAAATATAATACTTACGATCGGCATAGGTCCGGATATTTTTGTTATAATTCCTTTCTCACTAACATTGACGTCATAACCGTACCCACTCTTTACAGCTGGATCTAATTCTTCCACCACTAGCAGTTTTATTATGTTGCAGTACACTGTCATGAGAGCGGCACTGGAATATTATTAACAAGAGAAGATTTTTGAAAACAAAAGATGCAAGTAAAAAATTATGGAAATCGTATTAATAATTCCAACTTAGAAATTAGTGTATTTAGAGTCAATAATACTACACAATGTAGTATTATTATAATACATTATGCTACGTTACTTACTTCTCCGGTGACTCAAGTCCTAGAGAGGAAATAAAATGTGTATACATATAAGATTGCAACAAACGAAATTTGGGATCCGGGCGATACCAAAGCTCTGATATACTATTACTGTACAATTTTATAGGATATTTTGGAACTTTTGCTGGCAATGGTTCTAAAGAATGTCCAATATGAAGGTATACATTCTTCTCCGGTAAATGAAAATCTGGCAATGGCTCGACGGATTTCCAGTGTTCGAGCCATTCCTGTGGTATCTCGGTGCCTGTATACTCTGAATCGACTTTATCTAATTTCGGATTGACAAAGTCCTTGTCGAAAATCATAATATTCGCAGTCTCTGGCCTCAAATAATTCAAAATTTTTGTTATAGCTTCTGGATCATATTCAAAATTAATTAGGTTTCCAGTTATATAATCGCGCGACGCAAAGAGGTGTAAACTTATACATAAATTGCTCACATTAGTCAATGGATCTCCTTCATCATAATATCTAAAAAGACTACAAGTATAAGTGACGTTTTTCATGAATATTTTGTGTTTTCAATTATCTTTCATTTATCTATTTATTTCTATAATTAGTTTACCTAAATCTATTTTCTATACTCTTATTAAGCTCGTCGCAAATTTTGTTCTGCGCACCTTCCTTCTTTAGTAAATTGATATAGGAAAATATTATATCTAGAACCTCCTTCACATGTCGTTTTCCTTCAGTGGAGAGATCTATAATAATCTGAAATAAGCTGTACGTGAAACTATTTGTAGTGACACAAATGTCCTCATTGGAATGGGTAATATTCCACATTTTTTTGCGTAGATAACTAATTAGGGAACCTTTTCCTTCGTGTCCAATACGCCACAAGATATATTGATATGGTTTACTTTTATATAAATCAAATAACGGAGGCATGGCCCATGTTATTTTTAGCTGCAAAAGTCAAATTTTATTTTACATATTTATATTTTTACGAATAGTATAAACATAAATTTTTTTCGACTTGATTAAACTTTATAGGATCACATACTTGTCCAATGGGTTTTGAAGCAGAAATTTTATACATTTTTTTAAAAGCGTCGATATCAAAAGGAACACCATTATTTATTAATTTGGTAGAATCATCGCGAGATAGTTCGTTAGTTGGTATATTAACAAAACACGTATCAATTGTGACATATTGTTCCAATGTATTAAGCGGTAAACTTGCCTATAAAAAGATGTATCACGTTATAAACTTTAAGCTTTAATTTTGAAATAAATAAACTCTAAACTGTAATTGTTTGTCGCAATTTTAACAAAATTACCTGTATAACCAGCTTCATTCTACCAGCACCATAATGGCGCTCTTTGAATTTTTGTAGCTCTTCATATAATTTCGAGTAATCCAAATTTTCGTTTGCTTTTATAATAAGATCCTCATTAATCTTGTTGATTGGATGATCTGTTCGCGTAAAGGAGAAAAGCTGTGGATGATAAACTCTGTCCTTGGCTGAATTTAAAGCTGTCCGAAATTCTACATAAATACGATATATTGAGATTGCAAGTTGCAACAACAGTATTATAAGTATAATCTACCTTCTTTTATGTCGTTTCGATTCTGCATAAATGCATCTCTTTCCGGTAGAGGGTTAATGAAAAATTTAGCAAAATGAATGAGAACTGATAAAAAGTTTTTCTCTGGCATATCTAAGATAAACGACAATGTATATTCGAAATTATGTATGTAACTACAACTGCCTCCATGTTTATAGATAAGTTTTCGAAAATCATATTTCTGCAAGAGAGTAAGATAATTTAAACAATTTAATGTACAAATAAATAAATTTTATACCACATTTATACGTATCATATTTTAATACTTCGCAATGTTTTTTGAATTCATCTAAAAGGATATGATCGAAGAAAAATGATATGCCTGGAAATTCTGGTGGCTCTTCAAAAAATCTTGTTCTCACACATAAGCAACATATTGCCTATTTAAAAAAAATATTTATGTACGTATTGCGCATAATACACGCTGAATATTAAATGGAGAAATAAACACAATTAATGGAATGACTCGTAAATGATTTAAAATTGAGTAACACATATTGAAATTAATGAAAAGTTCTACAGTTAGTGAAGAAAATTAATTTTTCCTAACCGAAACTTTTAATAATACAATTAAATCTTGTAAAAATAGATATCTTTTGTGAGACCCGTCTTTGGTATATTACAATTTTAATAAATTTTAATAATAAAGTAGGTAAAAAAATTGGTGTAAGGTATATCCTAAAATGTACATTAAATTATTTCGTTCGTACCTTCATTTCATTTTTCATATCTTGATGTTGAGAAGAGCGTGTCTTTAAATCTTCATCGGATATTAACAAAGCTTCTAAACCATTTGATAATCTGATGGCTCTAAATTTAAAAGATAAAACAAATAAACTATTAATAAAATGAGACGTCAATGAGAATGTTGTGCATACTATCGATTATTTAAAAAAATTTAATTCTTGCATTTATTTATTAATAAGAAATACATTATAATGTTTTTTCTAAAAAATTATCGTCACAGTATTTCTCACAATTATTTCAATCGAAAGCGTGCATATTGCTGATCAGTATTTTTTTTCGACTCACCTATATTCCTTCTTGTCACTCTCCGATTTGACGGGTGTTTCTAGATATTCAACTTGACAACTCCTATTGTTTCCAGTTTGCATTATTTCGGTCGATATAATACGATCCGATAAAAGAATTCCTAATATTAAGTCGTTTCTGGTAGACGATTTTAATCAGCACTCTAACCGACTACAGCTTCTTCTTCCATTATGACACTCGGTTTCGAACAGAAGTCAATATACGACTAACTTGTGTACATGGTAAGTAAAGGTTGTAGATGTTTACTAATTTGTATTATTTCCACTGAGAGCCAAACGTCCAGCGAGCTAGTTAATGTATGTGTGTTCTTATATTTAAATATCGTTTAAATACAACCTTATAAAATATCTTAAACCAATCAGTAGGCCTTATTAACGTCTTACTTAAAACGGTTTATTTTAAATAAGAGCCAACTATAAATGCGTACCTAACTGATTGTTTAATTAATTATTATTCCATTGTTGCTAGGCACACACCTGAAAGAGGACCCACATGTGCGACAAGCGTTTGAAATTTGAACCTAATTTGACCGAACTACTCATCTAGATAAAAAAATATACTTCGATTTAAAGCTACTTTTAATCTAACCATACTCGCGTCTGATAATGATCAGTTGAAAGAAACAGAGAGCATACTACGTTTAAGTATAAGGAAAGGAAAGGGGCATATACATCTAGACTGATCAAAACGAGGCCTAACTTTGCGAATTTTTTGTGGAAAAACGGATAAACACAAAGAAGTCGGATTTGTTCCATTGTAAAGATGATACTTTTCTCTTTTTACCATTACAATTTTATTTAAAAATAATAAAAAATGAAGTCGCTATTCAAGTTTTCGTACGTCATATTTTATAAAATGGGTGAACATTGCTGCTCGCACAAGATACGTCTGAAAGCAAAATGGCACAAATTTTGTGAAATTCAAACATAGATCTTGTGCTTGACATAGCCGTTTATTTAAATATTGCGTTTGAATAAAATGGTAGCTGGTCAAAGTTATAAGAATTTTTTTTTATTATGCTCGATTTTGGCTACGAACAAAAACTAAGCATCGTAGGAACAAAAATCCTACGTCAGGAACTAGTTTTCAATACGTAGAGAAAATGTGTAAAATTGCAAGTCAATCAATCGTGCCGTCTTCAAGATACAGTGGTCAGGCGTTTTGAAAACAGTACCCTACTGAAAAAAATCACGTCACACAGTTGCATGACCAAATCATGTATTTAAAACACGTAAATCATGTAACGGATTGTTCCAAATCAGTATGTAATTCATTAAAATTACGTAATTTGAAAAATCACAAGATGATATGCTGTTTTTTTTCATATTTCTATCATGCAATTCTTTAAAATTTGACAACTATAAAAGCACATGATGGGTAAAATTATTTCTAATATCATATGATTTTCAAATTACGTCATTTAAAAAAATCATGTACTGATTTGGAACAATTCGTTACGTGATTTGTATGGCTTAATTACATGATTTCATTGTGTAATGTCGTGACATGATATTTTTCAGTAGGGTACGTTTTGAAAAAAATGCGTTTAAAGCTTTACATTCGGATCATACTTTTCGTTTGCTAACGTTTCAAGTTAGCTTTTCAGTTGTTCTTCCAAACGAGGCTGTTATCTTATACCCAACCAACCATTCGCATCTTCAAATACAGATCTCAGGAATACTATTGAAAAACACAATGAACACAGGAAGAACATTTTTGACCTGCGAGAACTTGAACCGTCCTGTCGCAGGCGTGCCTATCTGTCGCCTTCAATGCGCTCAAACCTACTCGTCTATAATTTCATGTAACTCCTTTATTTTCGACGGATAAATCTACAAAAACGTTTTTAAGACATTATACTTAAAATATTTAAAATAATCGGTTCTTTTCACCACCTCTAGATTTATATGCCTCTTTAAGAACTTTTAAAGAATCACGCATAATATCTTTTTTTTAGAACTGTAATGCTATATTGAATAAGACTCATCGGTAAATTTAGTTGAGAACTTCTTATATCGCTAATTTTTCCTTCTGTTCTTAAAAAGAAACAGATGAATAATATGCATAGAGTTCAACTGAAAAAAAAAACTATTTATGAGAAGTTGTTAACTTTAAATAAATTTATATAATTATCAAAGAGTTCTGGAAGACTTAAAGATAATTACGAATATCAATATATTTTGAATATTTATATTGTGATTATAATAAATGTTTGAAAATATATAGGAGTTACAAATCTATATAATATTATTGGAAAGATAAAAAAAGGATACATACAATGTTTATTTAAAGTATACAACTCTCGAAACCCAATCTTAATGATTGATGTATTAATTTAAAATATTTCTATTGTATATAACTTATTAATAGTCAATAAATCTCTGATTCTTGTAGAAGCAAGTGCTCTGCCTGTTATTTTATACTCACTAATTGTTGACGAATCGCAAAATTTTCTTTTCGGAGAGAATAGGAAGCTGAGCGGTTGACTTAAAAAGCAGTTAAATTCAAAAATCCTCTTTGTCTGAAAAGTATAATATATGGTATTTCATCAATTTATTCAAAAACAATTTCTACGCAATACGTATGCATACACAAAAGTAAAATATTTGTACGATCAGCTGATCAGTTTATAGAAAAGTTTTGCTCGACTGGTACGCGACATTTGTAAAAGAATACGAATTTTAAATCAATTAAGTTAAGTATGAAAATATTTGTTACGAGTGAGGAGAGGAAAGGGAAAAAGAAAGAAAAAAAGAGAGTGAAATACATATTTTATTGAAAACATTTCGTCATGTTTAGAATACAAATAAAAAATATGAAAAATTACATCTTGAGCAAGTACTTTACTTCCTAACTAGCATCCTCCTTTATTATTATAGTATATGTTTTGTCTAGTTATTATAGTTACTTATAAAATGTTTCCATTATACATCTGTTTATATTTTCATAATTAAAAAAAATTATCATTAATATATAAAGCTAAAAATTTTAATTTTAATGTAAGAGAAAATTTGATTTTATTAACTTCAAATATTTTGTTCCATAGCAAAATGCAAAATTCTATAGCTGTTACAATAATAGCTATTATAATAATAACTGTTATATGTAACGCCTTATCCGAAAGAATTTTGAAGTGTAATAAATATAATTGCAAAAAGTGCGCATTGGTTTATTGCGTGCATGCTACGAGGATAAAAAGTTTAAATTTAATCATTCAACGGTTAAAAAAAACTTGATTATAAGGCAATACAGATTATAGTATAATTTCATTTTTATTATAACATTAAATCGTTAATGTGTTTCTTATTCTGTGCTCTGAGAGGATTTTTTGGAACGTTTAGTTGGAAATATGAAGAATTTTTTTTAATAATCTTTTACTTTAGTAATATAATGATTTTTGTTTGCCGCGTTCTACTGATGATCGTCGTATATGTACTCCAAACCTGCGTATTTCACTCTTTTGGGAATATTTCCAACAACATGTAAACTTAATTTTCTAAAATTAGTTCCGTTCGATGTGTGGTCTGCAAACCATTCCCACAGCTTTTTAACACTTATATCCTCTAGAATACGTATTTCCTGTTCATATATATTAAATATGTAAGTATTGTTCAGGATCTCATTCCAGTTACTTTCGTCTTCAATATTGGCATTGTCATATAATCTAGATTTCAGGAACATATTTTTGTAAACATTCAATTCCTCTTCTGTGAACTTTTCCAAATCGTCTTTAAACTTTCTCAAAAATTCATCGATCTTCTTATCAACGTACTCGGGTGTGTATTTATGTGCTTGAGTGCAAACAGTAATGGAAAATCCTACCATTCCGTCATAGGCTCCAACATCGACTGTGGCATTAGTAAATTTATTTACGGGTAGACCCTCATATAAATTGTGGTCCATTATAATCTGAAAACAAGTGCAAGTGAATGTGATGTGCAGGTAAAATTAATCGTGATAATAAAAAATCTTGTTCATATTTCATTAACTTTAACAAATAAATGAATATACATTAAAGATTCCATGCCTTCAAACTATACAAAAGAGTATTTATTATTTAAAGGTATCCTTAAATTGTCTATATCACCGATTAAACGCAATAATTTTTGTATAATAATACTTTTTTTCTTCTTTTACAGATTAAAAAATCCTTTTCTAGGATTAAAGTATACGCATGAATACGTACGTGACTGTGTGTGATGGAGTTTATGCCAAAAAAAATGATTTAAATTGAGATCTTTTTTATCATTTCTTAGTCCAATATGACATTATCAATAACAAAACAATATTTGCTTGATATAAAAGCTTTGCAATCCTTAATACTTACGAAATTGTGGTATACAGACTAATAGTTTACATAAACAAACGAGGCGGAATTTTTAGAATTTGATTCAAGAGTCTAATTAAAAAGTTATTATTCTACGAAAATTTATGTACATGTGTGCGTAAAATATTGGTGCAGTAGTACACAAAGATGTGTCGATGTGTCACATTTTTCCGTAAATAGCGATCTACACGGACTTAGCGCTTCAATTTAAGATCCTTTTGATACTTACGCCTATCAGACTGATTAATGTCGATAATTCAATCGTGATGACGCCAGCTTGATAATAATTTCTTATTACGGAAGTTGTATCTAATTTGTTGATATTTTTAATCTTATAACAGCTTATGCCCAAAGGTATCTGAGTACCTCTAAGCTGTCGTATTGTATTTGGCGTTAAAGGGTTACAATTAATTGCTTTAGTAAATTTTTGGACGGTCTCGATCGCATCACGCGGCGTCATATTTCCTTGCACGAAACATTTAATGTATAGAGATTCGGTAAAGGATTTCACAAAGTCTTGAAAGTCTTTTAAAGTGATACCCTGTACAGTAGTATGCATATCAATGTGTGAATGATGGACGAGTTTCAGTTTCGATAACGTCATGTCGCTGCAAGCAAGAGTAAAGATATCATTGATTAGCAGAAATGTAACATGATATAATTTATTTTATAATATCAATTGTTATAATTAATATGTTAATCATTTATTTTAATTATATACGTATTTTGAGATTGTTAAAATAATTTTTGACATAATAAACAATCAGTACCCGATGGAAATCTCAGGTTTGCTAACGCTGTGGTACCATGTCTGCATTTGTTGAATTTTGAGACTTTCATATATGTCCTTTGTAATAACATAGCTTGAATATCGCTCCATGACTTGTGCAAAACTAATCGCTAAAAGCTGCAATATAAATATAATAATATATCTTGAAATTATATTTATAACTCCAAAGTACACTTTGAACGTATACTTACTGGCAGAGTTGCACTAGGACCGCTCATTTTTACTGTAAAACCATTCAAAAGGACTCTGATATTATATTTAAATCCAGCCAGTAGAGCTGGATATAATTCTTCGGTTAATAGCTGTTTCAATAGACTGCAGTACAAGCGCATGAGAACTCCACTGAAATGTCATTAACGTTCACGTCTTTTTCAAGAGAAGAGAGATGTAAATAATTATATAAAATATATAATATTAGTAAATATAAATTAAAAATTGATGTGCACATATAATGTCAAGTACAGTTATATTGTTACATATTCTATGCTACTTACTTGTTCAACGACTGAAGTTTTAGAGGGGAAATAAAATAGAAATGCATACAACATTCCGGCAAACGAAACTTAGAATCGTGGCGATACCAAATTTCCGACACAGTATTGAAATATAATTTTATAGGATATTTCTCAGTTTGTTCTTTTGGTGTCTTTATTAAATTAAAATCGTTGGTAAGGTATGTATTCGGTAACGGTAAAACAAATTCTGGTAATGGCTCAATGACTTTCCAAATTTCGATCCACCGTTTCTTTATCTGAATATCCGTATATGCCATTTGCCACCATGGTTCAACTTTGTTCAATTTGCAACCATTAAAATCCTTCGCAAAAATCATAATATTCGGCTTCTCAGGCGCCAAATAATTCAAACATTTTTGTATAACTTCTGCATTATAATTTGAATTAAGCTTGTCTCCTGTTAAGTAAGCCTCCGGCGGATAGAAATGCATATTCTTACACAATTGTTTTACAAAAGAGATTGGTTCTTTATCGTAATTACTAAATCTAAAAAGACCTTCAAGTATAAGTGGCGTTCCACAAATATGTTGTTGGATTTTCTTTTCAATCATCTTAAATCCATATACTTATTTTTTAAATTACTTTACCTAAAAATATTTCGATCACTCCCATAAATGTCATTGTAAATAGCTTCGTGCGGACACACTCTCTTTAGTAAATTGATAAAAGAAAATATTGTGTCTACAATATATTTCACATGATTTCGTCCTTCAGAAGTGAGTGCTATGCTGATCCGTATTAAGCTGTACAAAGAGTTTTGTTGAACCTCACAATAATACATATCATTATTGTCAAATAGTTTGATTATATTATCGTATGGTGTGGGACTCCACATTTTTTGTCGTAGATAACTAATTAAGGAACCTTTTCCTTTATATCCAATAATCCACGGGATATATAGATATGAATTACATGTATAAAAATCGGAGAACGAAGGCAAGGCCCACGTTACTACTAGCTGTAAAAGAGAAAGATTATTTTGTATATTTAATTGAATTTTTATGTTTTATAATCGTAGATTCCTTTATATCTACTCAAATTATAGTCACATACTCGTGCCAATTGTTCCGTATCGTCTCTAATCGTATACATATTTTGAAAAGCGGGAGTATCAAAAGGGAGATCGTTTTCAAATTGGGAAAAATCATCTGGAGGCATTCTGTTATTTGGTATACCATCGAAGCACGCCTTGATCTTGTTTACCATTCTCTTCATCCGAAATCCCGACTATAAGAATATGTATTACGTTATGATTTAATTTTATTTTATAAACAAAAGAACCATAATTTTATAAGTAATAAATAATTCTCGCGTCGCAATTTTAACGAAGTTACCCGTATTACTAGCTTCATTCTGTGAGCGCTGTAGTGGCGCTCTTTAAATTTGGTCAACACATCGTACAATCTGTCATAATCTATATTATTACGTAATTCTTTTAAACGATCCTCAGAAAACTTGTTGGTTGGATGACCAGTTCGAGCGAAGGAGGAAAGTAGTTGGTCGTATTTCGACTTGCCAAATAATACCTGAAACTCTATATAAGCATAGCATGTTAAGACTGCAAGTTGCGACAACAATGTTAAGATTACGATTTTTATACTGTTTTTTATGACATCTTGCTTCTGTTTAAATACATCTTTCGACATTATATCATCAACGAATAAACGGCTAAAAATGTAGAGAGCTTCAAAAAAGTAGTCTTGTTCGATATCAAAGGAAAGTTGTGTATATTCGTATCCTCCTTCGATATTAATATTGCCATTATGGTCAATAATATAATCTTCCAATGTAGTATCTACTTGCTGCAAATAAGAAAATACTTAAATACTTAAATATACGAATAAATATAAATTTTACGGTAAATTTGTGCATCATTTTTTAGCACCTGTGAAAATTCCACGGGTTTTTGAAAAAGCATATGCCCTAAGGTAAATGACGTGCCTGGAAATTCTGGCGTATCGCTGAAATATCCTACGTCCACGTATAAACTACACGCTGCCTGTTTAAAAAAATTTAAAAGTATACACATCACGTGCATTACACGCAGTGTTAAATAGAGAATTGAATATAATCGACAGAATAACTAAATAGTTTGAAATTGTACCACACATTTCGAAATCAATTTATAGAAACTTTTCTGCATTACAGGAGATTAAATTTTTCAAATCAAACTTCTGATAATATACTACTTAAATTTTATGAAAACAGATATATCTCTTGATTTTAAAGTTTAATGTTAATATTAATTTTAAATATAAATTTTGATTAACGAGTTAACTACAAAAATTAGTCTTTTATACCTTTTTATCTTGAGAAGAATGTGGCTCTGAATATATATCGGATATTATCAAAGCTTCTAGACCATTTAGTAATCTGAAGGCTCTAAATTTAAAAGACAAACAAATCAAATATTAATAAAATGAGACATCAATTAGAATTTTGTACATATTTTTTTTATTATTTAAAAAAATTTAATTTCGGCATTTATCAATAAAAAATAAAGTATAAAGTTTTTTCTAAAAAATTATCGTTACAGTATTTCTCACGCATATTTCAATCGAAATCATGCATATTGCTGATCGGTATTTTCTTTCGTCTCACTTGTATTTCTTCCCGTCTTTCTCCGATTTGACGGGTGTTTCCAGATCAATTTCACAACTCATATTGTCTCCAGTCGCTTGCTCTGTTTCTTGCATTATATCGGTAAATATAATACGATCCGATGAAGGAATTCCCAATATTAAGTCGTTTTTGGTAGACGATTTTAATCAGCACTCTAACCGACTACAGCTTCTTCTTCCGTTATGCCACTCGTCTTCGAACAGAAGTCAATATACGACTAACTTGTGTACATGGTAAGTAAAGGTTGTAGATGTTTACTAATTTGTATTATTTCCACTGAGAGCCAAACGTCCAGCGAGCTAGTTAATGTATGTGTGTTCTTATATTTAAATATCGTTTAAATACAACCTTATAAAATATCTTAAACCAATCAGTAGGCCTTATTAACGTCTTACTTAAAACGGTTTATTTTAAATAAGAGCCAACTATAAATGCGTACCTAACTGATTGTTTAATTAATTATTATTCCATTGTTGCTAGGCACACACCTGAAAGAGGACCCACATGTGCGACAAGCGTTTGAAATTTGAACCTAATTTGACCGAACTACTCATCGAGATAAAAAAACATACTTCGATTTAAAGCTACTTTTAATCTAACCGTACTCGCGTCTGATAATGATCAGTTGAAAGAAACAGAGAGCATACTACGTTTAAGTATAAGGAAAGGAAAGGGGCATATACATCTAGACTGATCAAAACGAGGCCTAACTTTGCGAATTTTTTGTGGAAAAACGGATAAACACAAAGAAGTCGGATTTGTTCCATTGTAAAGATGATACTTTTCTCTTTTTACCATTACAATTTTATTTAAAAATAATAAAAAATGAAGTCGCTATTCAAGTTTTCGTACGTCATATTTTATAAAATGGGTGAACATTGCTGCTCGCATTAGATACGTCTGAAAGCAAAATGGCACAAGTTTTGTGAAATTCAAACATAGATCTTGTGCTTGACATAGCCGTTTTTTTAAATATTGCGTTTGAATAAAATGTCAGCTGGTCAAAGTTAACGATTAATACAAAATATTACGATTAAAACAAAAAATTCTGTTCGTTTTTAAGCTACGATGAGAAACTAAGAATCGTAGGAAAAAAATTTCTACGTCAAGAACTAGTTTTCGATTTGTAGAAAAAGTGTGTAATATTGCAAATCGATCGATCAAGCCGTCTTCAAGATATTGTGGTCACACGTTTTTGAAAATAGTACATTTTGAAAAAAAACGTTAAAAGTTTTATCATCGGTTTATAGTTTTTGTTGCTAATATGCTAACGTTTTAATCTTTTCAATTGCTCTTCCATACAAGACTATTATCTTATACCCAATCAACCGCTCGTACCTTTAAATAATGAGAAATATTATTGAAACGTACAATAAATAGGGGAGACTTGAACCGTCCTGTCGCAGACGCGCCTGTATACCTGTCGTCTTCAATGCGCTTGAACCTATAATTTCGTCAATAATTTCGTGTAACTTTTTTATTTTTTACCGGATAAATCTACCATGATGTTTTTAAGACATTATACTTTAAATATTAGAAAAAAAAAACGATTTTATCACCATCTCTAGGTGTACATGCCCCCTTAAGGACAAACTTTTAAAGAATCACGTTTGATTTCTTTTTTTTATAACTATAATACTATATTAAATGAGAATCATCGGTAAGTTTAGTTGAACTTCTTATATCGTTAATTTTTCCTTCTATTCTTAAAAATAATAGATGAACAAAATGTATGGCGTTTAATTGAAAAAAATAGACAAACTATTAGAGGTTGTCAACTTTAAAGAAATTTTTACAATTATAGAAAGATCCTGGAAGAAACCAGAGATAATTTAAAAATATCAATTTTTTTTTAAATTCATATCGTAATAAAGAATAATAAATGTTTGAAAATGTATAAGAGTTTCGAATCTATATAATATTATTGGAAAGAGAGAATATGAAAAAGGATATATGTGATAGTTATTTAAAGCATAAAACTCGAAACCCACCCTTAATGAATTAATGCATTAATTTAAAATATTTATATTTTATATTACTTATTAATAGTCATTAAATCTGATTTTAAGAAGCATGTGCTCTGCCTGTTTTTTTATGCTCGCCAGTTATCGCCGAATCGCAAATTTTTTTTTCCAAAACAATAGGAAGCTGAGCAGTTGACTTATAAAAAACAGATAAATTAAAAAATTTCCTCCTTTTGTAGAACGTATAATATATAGTATTTCATCAATTTATTTAAAATGCGATTCCTACGTAATACGTATGCATACACAAAAGTAAAATATTTGTACGATCAGCCAGGCAGTTCATAGAAAAGACTTGCTCAACTGGTGGGCGACCTTTGTAAAAGAATACGAATTTTAAATTAATTAAGTTAAGTATGAAAATTTTTGTTACGAGTGAGGAGCAGAAAGAGAAAAAGAAAGAGAAAAAGATAGTGAAAGATATATTTTATTGAAAACATTTTGTCAGTTACTTTTAATATGTTTCCATTATATATCTGTTTATATTTTCATAATTAAAAAAAATTATAGTTAATACATAAAACTAACAATTTTAATTTTAATGCAAGAAAATTTTGTTTTATTAACTTCGAATATTCTAGTTCAGTAGCAAAATGCAAAATTCTATACTTGTTACAACAATAGCTACTATAATAACAGATATTATTCGTAACGCCTCATCAGAAAGAATATTGAAGTATAATAAGTGTAATTACAAAAAGTGCTCGCATTGGTTTATTGTGTGCTTGCTACCCGAGAGGATAAAAAGCTTTAATTTAATCATTCAACCATTAAAAAAAACTTGATTATAAGGAAATACAGTTTATAGTATTAATTTCAATTTTATTATAACATTAAGTCGTTAATGTGTTACTTATTCTGTGTTCTGAGCGAATTTTTTGGAACGTTTAGTTGGAAACATGGAGAGTTTTTTTTTATAATCTTTTACTTTAGTAATATAATGATTTTTGTTTGGCTCGTACTGCTGATGATAGTCGTATATGTATTCCAAACCAACATATTTCGCTCTTTTGGGAATAGTTCCCACAACATGTAAACTTAATTTTCTAAAATTAGTTCCGTTCGATGTGTGGTCTGCAATCCATTCCCACAGCTTTTTAACATTTATTTCCTTTAGAATAAGTATTTCCTGTTCATATAAATTAAATATGTAAGTATCGTTCAGGATGTCATTCCAGTTTCTTTCGTCTTCAATATTGGCATCGTCATATGATCTAGATTTTAGGAACATTTCTTTATAAACATCCAGTTCCTCTTCTGTGAGCTTTTCCAAATCGTCTTTAAACTTTCTCAAAAATTCATCGATTTTCTTATCAACGTACTCGGTTGTGTATTTATGTGCTTGAGTGCAAACAGTAATGGAAAATCCTACAATTCCGTTATAGGCTCCAACGTTGACTGTGGCATTAGTAAATTTATTTACGGGTAGACCCTCATGTAACTTGTGGTCCATTATAATCTGAAAACAAGTGCAAGTGAATGTGATGTGCAGGTAAAATTAATCGTGATAATAAAACATCTTGTTCATATTTCATTAACTTTAACAAATAAATGAATATACATTAAAGATTCCATGTCTTCAAAATGTACAAAACAGTATATATTATTTAAGGGTATCCTTAAATTGTCTATATCACCGACTAAACGCAATAATTTTTGTATAATAATACTTTTTTTCCTCTTTTACAGATTAAAAAATCCTTTTCTAGGATTAAAGTATACGCCTGAATACGTACGTGCCTGTGTGTGATGGAATTTATGCCGAGAACGAAAAAAATTATTTAAATTGAGATCTTTTTTATCATTTCTTACTCCAATATGGCATTATCAATATCAAAACAACATTTGCTTGATATAAAAGCTTTGCAATCCGTAATACTTTTTAAATTGTGGTCTACAGACTAATAGTTTACATAAACAAACGAGGCGGAATTTTTAGAATTTGATTCAAGAGTCTAATTAAAAAGTTATTATTCTACGAAAATTTATGTACATGTGTGCGTAAAATATTGGTACAGTAGTACACAAAGATGTGTCGATGTGTCACATTTTTCCGTAAATAGCGATCTACACGGAGTTAGCGCTTCAATTTAGGATCCCCTTGATACTTACGCCTATCAGACTGATTAATGTCGATAATTCAATCGTGATGACGCCGGCTTGATAATAATTTCTTATAATAGAAGTTGTATCTAATTTGTTGATATTTTTAATCTTGTAATAGCTTATGCCCAAAGGTATCTGAGTGCCTCTAAGCTGTCGTATTGTATTTGGATCTAAAGGGCTACAATTAATTGTTTTAGTAAATTGTTGTACGGTCTCGATTGCAACACGCGGCGTCATATTTCCTTGCACGAGACATTTAATGTATAGAGATTCGGTAAAGGATTTCACAAAGTCTTGAAAGTCTTTTAAAGTGATATCCCGTATAGTAGTATGCATATCAATGTGTGAATGATGGACGAGTTTCAGTATCGATAATGTCATGTCGCTGCAAGCAAGAGTAAAGATATCATTGATTAGCAGAAATGTAACATGATATAATTTATTTTATAATATCAATTATTATAATTAATATGTTAATCATTTATTTTAATTATATACGAATTTTGAGATTGTTATAATGATTCTTGACATAATAAACAATCAGTACCCGATGAAAATCTCAGGTTTGCTAACGCAGTAATACCATGTCTGCATTTGTTGAATTTTGATACTGTTATATATGTCCTTTGTAATAACGCTTGAATATCGCTCCATGACTTGTGCAAAACTAGTCGCTAAAAGCTGCAATATAAATATAATAATATATCTTGAAATTGTATTTATAACTCCAAAGTACACTTTGAACGTATACTTACTGGCAGAGTTGCACTAGGACCGCTCATTTTTACTGTAAAACCATTCAAAAGGACTCTGATATTATATTTAAATCCAGCCAGTAAAGCCGGATATAATTCTTCGGTTAATAGCTGTTTCAATAGTCTGCAGTACATGCGCATGAGAACTCCACTGAAATGTCATTAATGTTCACGTTTTTTTCAAGAAGATAGATGTAAATAATTATATAAACAATATAATATTAGTAAATATAAGTTAAAAATTGGTATACACATATAATGTCAAGTACAGTTATATTGTTACATATTCTATGCTACTTACTTCTTCAACGACTGAAGTTTTAGATGGGAAATAAAATAGAAATGTATACAACATTCCGGCAAACAAAACTTAGGATCGTGGCGATACCAAATCTCCGAAACAGAATTACAATATAATTTTATATGATGTTTCTCAGGTTGTTCTTTCGGTGTCTTTATTAGATCAAGGTTGTTGGTAAGGAATATATTCGATAACGGTAAATAAAATTCTGGTAATGGCTCAATGACTTCCCAACTTTCGATCCAATCTTTCTGTAACTCAATATCCGTATATGCCATTTGCCACCACGGTTCAACTTTCTTTAATTTGAAATCATTCGAACTCGAGAAAATCATAATATTCGGCTTCTCAGTCGCCAAATAATTCAAACATTTTTGTATAACTTCTGCATTATAATTTGAATTTAGCTTCGGCTTCTCAGGCGCCAAATAATTCAAACATTTTTGTATAACTTCTGCATTATAATTTGAATTTAGTTTGTTTCCTGTTAAATAAGCCTTCGGCGAATAGGAATGCATATTCTTACACAATTGTTTTACAAAAGAGATTGGTTCTTTGTCGTAATTAATAAATCTAAAAAGACCTTCAAGTATAAGTGGCGTTCCACAAATATGTTGTTGGATTTTCTTTTCAATCATCTTAAATCCATATACTTATTTTTTAGATTACTTTACCTAAAAATATTTCGATCACTCTCATAAATGTCATTGTACATTTTTTTCTGCGGACCAGCTCTCTTTAGTAAATTGATAAAAGAAAATATTGCATCTAGAACATCTTTCAAATGTTTTTGTCCTTCAGAAGTGAGCGATATGCTGAGCTTTATTAAGCTGTACAAAGAGTTTTGTTGACTCTCACAATAAAACATATTATTATTTTCAAATAGTTTGATTACATTATCGTCTGGTGTGGGACTCCACATTTTTTGTCGTAGATAACTAATTAAGGAACCTTTTCCTTTATATCCAATAATCCACGGGATATATTGATATGAATTACATGTATAAAAATCGGAGAACGAAGGCAAGGCCCACGTTATTACTAGCTGTAAAAGAGAAAGATTATTTTGTATATTTTTATTTGAATTTTTATGTTTTATAATCCTAGATTCTTTTATATCTACTCAAATTATATTCACATACTCGTGCAAAATGTTCCGTATCATCATTAATCACATACATTTTTCGGAAAGCGGAAGTATCAAAAGGAAGATCGTTTTTAAATTGGGAAAAATTATCTGGAGGCATTCTGTTATTTGGTATACCATCGAAGCACGCCTTGACCATTTTTTCCATTCTGTCCAACCGAAATCCCGACTATAAGTATATGTATTATGTTATGATTTAACTTTATTTTATAAACAAAAGAACCATAAGTCTATCAGTTATAAGTAATTCTCGCGTCGCAATTTTAACGAAGTTACCCGTATTGCTAGCTTCATTCTGTGAGAGCTATAGTGGCGCTCTTTAAATTTGATCAGCACATCGTACAATTTGTCATAATCTATATTATTACGTAATTCTATTAAGTGATCCTCAGAAAACTTGTTGATTGGATGACCAGTTCGAGCGAAGGAGGAAAATAGTTGGTCGTATTTTGATTTGCCAAATAATACCTGAAACTCTATATAAGCATAGCATGTTAAGACTGCAAGTTGCGACAACAATGTTAAGATTACGCTTTTTATACCGTTTTTTATGAAATCTTGTTTCTCTATAAATACATGTTTCGACATTATATGATTAACAAAAAAGCGGCTAAAATTGTAGAGAGCTTCAAAAAAGTTTTCTTGTTCAATATCAAAGGAAAGTAGTGTATATTCGTAGCCCCCTTCGATATTAATATTGCCATTGCAGTTAATAATAAAATCTTCCAAAGTAGTATCTAATTGCTGCAAATAAGGCGATACTTAAATATTTAAATATACGAATAAATATAAATTTTACGGTAAATTTATGCATCATGTTTTAGCACCTCCGAAAATTCCTCGGGTTCTTGAAAAAGCATATGCCCTAAAGTAAATGATGTGCCCGGAAATTCTGGCGCATCGCTGAAATATCCTACGTCCACGTATAAGCTACACACTGCCTGTTTAAAAAAATTTAAAAGTATACACATCAAGCGCATTACACGCAGTGTTAAATAGAGAATTGAATACAATCCACAGCATAACTAAACAATTTGAAATTCTATCACACATTTTAAAATCAATTTATGGAAACTTTGCTGCATTACTGGAGATCAAATTTTTCAAATCAATCTTCTAATAGTATACTACTTAAATTTTATGAAAATAGGTATATCTTTTGGTTTTAAAGTTTATTGTTAATATTAATTTTAAATATAAATTTTGGTTAACAAGTTAACTAAAAAAATTAGTCATTCCTCGAATGCAAATTATATTGTCTTTTATACCTTTTTATCTTGAGAAGAGTGTGTCTTTGAATCTTTATCGGATATTAGCAAAGCTTCTAAACCATTTGGTAATCTAATGGCTCTAAATTTATAAGACAAACAAACTAAATATTAATAAAATGAGACGTCAATGAGAATTTTGTACCTATTTTTTTTATTTAAAAAAATTTAATTTTTGCATTTATTAATAAAAAGTAACGTATAATGTTTTTTTTTTAAATTATCGTTACTGTATTTCTCACGCATATTTCAATCGTGCCTATTGCTGATCGGTATTTTCTTTCGTCTCACTTGTATTCCTTCTTGTCATTCTCCGATTTGACGGGTGTTTCCAGATATTCAATTTGACGACTCTTATTGTCTCCAGTTGCTTGCTCTATTTCTTGCATTATTTCGGTAAATATAATACGATCCGATGAAGGAATTCCCAATATTAAGTCGTTTCTGGTAGACGATTTTAGTCAGAACTCTAATCGATACGGCTTTTTCTTCTGTTATGTCACTTGTCTTCGAACAGAAGTCTACGTACGACTAAGCGTACTTGTGTACATTTTAAGCAAAGGTCGTAGATGTTTACTAACTTAGAAATACTACTGTATTTCGCACTAATCTGAGAGCCAATGGTCCAGCAAGCCAGTTAATATGTTATGTACGGTCTGTTCTTATACTTAATATCGTTTAAATACTATCTTAGAATATTGTAGACCATTCACTTAGCCTTATTAACGTATTATTTAAAACGAATAACTTTAAATAAGATCCAACTATAATTGCCTGCCTATTGATTGTTTAAATAACTATTTTATTGTTGCTAGAAACACGTTTGAAAGAGATCCCACATTTGCGATAAACACTTGAAATTTGAACGTAACTTGACCGAGCTACACGACGATGTAAAAAAGCATACTCCAGCTTAAAGCTACCTGAAATCTAGCCACATACATCTGATAATAGTCACTTGAACGAAGCAGAGAGCATACTTTGTTTAATATACTGAAGTTTAAGGGTAATATACAACTACTCTGACCAAAACGAGGCCTAATTTAGTGACTTTTTTGTGGAAAAAGAGATAAAGACAAAGGTGATTTGTTACATTGTAAACATAATAGTTTTCTCTATTTATCATTACAATTTCATTTGAAAATATTATAAAGTGGAGTCGCTATTTAAATGTCATACCTCATATTTTATAAAATGGGTGAATATTGCTGCTCGCACAAGACTCGTCTGAAAGCAAAATGGCACAAGTTTTGTGAAATTCAAACATAGATCTTATGCTTGCCATAGCCATTTTTTTAAATATTGCGTTTGAATAAAATGTCAGCTGGTCAAAGTTAACGATTAATACAAAATATTACAATTAAAATTCTGTTCGTTTTTAAGCTACGATAAGAAACTAAGAATCGTAAGAAAAAAAATTCTACGTCAAGAACTAGTTTTCAGTTTATAGAAAAAGTGTGTAATATTGCAAATCGATCGGTCAATTCGTCTTCAAGATACAGTAGTCACGCGTTTTTGAAAATAGTACGTTTTGAAAAAAACACGTTAAAAGTTTTACATTCGGTTTATAGTTTTTGTTGCTAATATGCTAACGTTTTAACCTTTTCAATTACTCTTCCAGAAAAGACTGTTATCTTATACCCATCCAACAGCTCGTACCTTTAAATGATGAGAAATGTTATTGAAAAATATAATAAATAGGGGAAGACCCTTTTTCCACCAGCGCGAACTTGAACTGTCTTGTCGCAAGCGCGCCTATATACCTGTCGTCTTCAATGCGCTTGAACCTATAATTTCGTCAATAATTTCGTGTAACTCCTTTATTTTTTACCGGATAAATCTACAAAGATGTTTTTAAGACATTATACCTTAAACATTAGAAAAAAAAAACGGTTTTATCACCACCTCTAGGTGTACATGCCCCCTTAAGGACAAACTTTTAAAGAGTCACGTTTGATTTCTTTTTTTTTAGAACTATAATGCTATATTGAATGAGAATCATCGGTAAGTTTAGTTGAACTTCTTATATCGTTAATTTTTCCTTCTATTCTTAAAAAGAAATAGATGAACAAAATGCATGGCGTTTAATTGAAAAAAATAGATTAACTATTAGAGGTTGTCAACTTTAAAGAAATTTTTACAATTATCGAAAGATTCTGGAAGATACCAGAGATAATTTGAAAATATCAATTTTTTTTAAATTCATATTGTAATAATGAATAATAGTAAATGTTTGAAAATGTATAAGAGTTACAAATCTATATAATATCATTGGAAATAGAGAATATGAAAAAGGATATATTTATTTAAAGAATGAAACTCGAAACTCACACTTAATGAATGTTGCATTAATTTAAAATATTTATATTTTATATTACTTATTAATAGTCATTAAATCTGATTTTAAGAAGCAAGTGCTCTGCCTGTTTTTTTATGCTCGCCAGTTGTGGCGGAGTCGCAAAATTTTTTTTCCGAAATAATAGGAAGCTGAGCAGTTGACTTAAAAATCAGATAAATTAAAAAAAACTTCCTCCTTTTGTAGAAAGTATAATATATATAGTATTTCATCAATTTAGTTAAAATGCAATTCACACAATACGTATGAATATATAAAAGTATTTATCGAATCAGCCGTTTAGTTTATAGAAAAATCTTGCTCAACTGTGCGGCCTTTGTAAAAGAATATAAATTTTAAAGCAATTAAGTTAAGTATGAAAATTTGTGATGAGTCAAGATAGGAGAGAGAGAGAGAGAGAGAGTGTGAAACATATTTTATTGAAAATATTTTGTCGTGTTTAAAATACAAATAAAAAAAGGAAAAATTACATCTTGAGCATGTACTTTATTTCCTAAATAGCATTCTCCTTTATTATCACTAATGATGCATCAGACATCCAGAAAGTATCCGTTATCCGGCACTTTTTTACTATCCGATTGAATAACCGGATATTACTATTAGAGATATTTGCTTGAAATTTGATATCATTAAATTGTTAATTTTTTGTTATACAAATTTTCTAGAAATACGTATGCATATTCATGATGCAATAATATCTTATATATTGTTGCAAAATTACAATCTTTTTTCCTATAGGCTCTTTTTTTAGAAGACATTTTCTCGGAATCTCCGGTCGGATATCCGAAAAATGTCGGAGATCCGACTAGATGAAATTGCCTTCTCGAATATCCAGTATCCGATCGGATATTACATTTTGCCCGGATATCCGGTATCCGGTATTCGGTAATTTTACGATCCGGTGCATCCCTATTTATCGCAATATATGTTTTTGTCTAATTACTACAGTTACTTATAATATGTTTTCATTATATAATTGTTTATATATAGATTTTAAAGAAAAGTATCGTTAACGTATAAAATTAACACAATTTTAATTTAAATGTGAAAAAATTTCATTCTATTAACTTCGAATATTCTAGTTTTGAAGCAAAATGCAAAATTCTATAGCTGTTGTAATAATAACTATTATAATAATAGCTATTAATTATAACAGCTCATCAGAAAGAATATAGAAGTACAATAAACGTAATTGCAAAAGATCTTCGCATTGATTTATTGCGTAGTTGCTATGAGAAGATAAAAAGTTTAAATTTAATCATTCAACTATTAAAAAAAACTTCATTATCATAAGACAATACAAGTTATAATTTCATTATGATTATAATATAAAATCGTTAATGTGTCATTTATTCTGTGCCCTGAGTAGATTTGTTGGAACGCTTAGTTGGAAACATGAAGAGCTTTTTCTTATAATCTTCTACTTTAGTAATATAATGATATTTACTTGGCTTACGCTGCTGATGATCGTCGTTTACGTATTCCAAACCAACGTATTTCGCTGTTTTGGGAATAGCTCCTACAACTTGTAAACTCAATTTTCTAAAATTACTTCCCTTCGATGTGTGATCTGCAAGCCATTCCGTCAACTTATTAACATTTATTTTCTTTAAAGCAAGTATTTCCTGTTCGTGTAAATCAAATATGTAAGTACTATTCACGATCTCCTTCCAATTTCTTTCAACTTCATCTTTAAGATTGGCATCGTCATGCAATTTGGATTTTAGGAACATTTCTTTGTAACCATCCAATTCCTCTTCTGTGAGCTTTTCCAAATCGTTTTTAAACCATCTCAAAAATTCGTCGATCTTCTTATCAACGTACTCGGTTGTGTATTTATGTGCTTGAGTGCTAACAGTAATGAGAAGTCCTACAATTCCGTTATAGGCTTTAACGTTGACTGTGGCATGAGTAAATTTATTTACGGGTAGACCCTCATGTAACTTGTCGGCCATTATATACTGAAAACAAGTGCAAGTGAATGAGATGTGCAGGTAAAATTAATCGTAATAATCAAAAATCTTGTTCGTATTTCATTAACTTAAAAAATACATGAATATACATTAAAGATTTCATGCATTCAAAATATACAAAATAATATATATTATTTAAGGGGATCCTTAAGTTGTCTATATCACCGATAAAACACAATAATTTTTGTATAATAATTACTTTTTTCCTCTTTTACAGATTAAAAAATCTTTTTCAAGGATAAAAAAAAGTATTAAAGTGTACGCACTAATATGTACGCGGCTTTGTGATAAAATTTATGCCGAGAACGAAAAAAATGTTTTAAATTGAGATCTTCTTTATTATTTCTTATTGTAATATGACGTTATAAATATTGAAACAACATTTGCTTGCAATCGGTACTTACGAAATTGTCGTCTACAGACTAGTAGTTTATATAAACAAACGACGCGGAATTCTTGGAATTTGATTTAGAAGTCAAAAATGTTATAATTCTACGAAAATTTATTTATGTGTGCGTGAAATATTGGTGCAGTAGTACATAGAGATGTGTCGATGTGTCACATTTTTCCATAAATTGCGATCATGCTCAGAGTAAGAGCCTCACTTTAGGATCCCCTTAAGGCGATGCTAAAACCCCCCTGTTTTACCACATTCCTATTCGGTGGGATTTCTCCGTATTGGATGTACGGATTGCAAAAGTATTATTACTTAAATTATAGTACGCACACAGAG